CTGCCTCGTAACCTTTCTTCTAAACGAGGCCATGGAGAATAACGTCGATTTGCATTGCCGCCATGGAGAATAACATCGACTCGCATTGCCTCATATTCCCTAATCTGATGTATAGATTGATCAACGACATGGATAATCGATCCCATTTTTGTTTCATGACATATCCTTTGTCGTTTTAAATTCCTCATACAGGGGTTATAATATTAGGGTTCGCCACCAGTTATAATACCGACAACGCCTCCTCTAAAAAAACCATAATTACACACAAAATTGGTGCAAGTCTTTTCACTCATTCACCGATTATCTTCTTATTCACTCTTATCTGCTTGAACGATGCTATTGCTATTTATTTCATTATTATGTTTTTCATGTATGTTTATTGTTATGTTACGGTATCCGTTAATTTCTTTATAATTGGGTTTTTATATAATCCAGGGGATTCGTTGAATTTGTCTCCGGCAACCAACTCTTTTTCTCCAATTTCTTGATTTCTCTGTTGTCGATTTTTTATTAATTCAAAGGAAAAGAAAATTTGTTTAGTTAGTTTTAATATAAACAAAATGTTTTCAAGCGCATCAAATTTAATTATTGTTTAGTTTGAGTGGATTGTTTTCAAATTTGATGAAAGTTCTTCATGTATCTAAAATATACAAAACAAGTGGGAAAATGAAGTCAGATTCTTATCTCCATCCTTTATGGCAGATATATAACTATATATATTTTTTATATCATTTTCTTTGATGCACAAAATTGAAAAATAACATTTGTTTAGGTAAAATTGCTAATATTACGAACACATTATATGATTTGTTCATTGAACATCTTATTTTTATCTGAACTTTTTCTCTCACACTGATTAGTTTTCTGTTGAAATGAAAATTATTTTCAGGTTGCTTATGTTTGTTGTTCTGTAAGATGAGTCTTCAAATTGGAGTTATTTTTGTCTGAAGGGTATAGTGATCCTTATCATGGCATCAGATTGTGCATATGAAGAATGGTCAATGAGGATGGAGAAACCATGTTATTGGTTGTTCATGATAATTTTGCTGCTAAATATCACTATTATATAGATAATAGCCATTAAGAAAGATAGATAATGCAACATTGTGTCATTGTCACTACAAAGAGGAAGATAATTTTCTAGAAAATATTTCAAATATGTTAAGTTTAAGGCACCCAAACATAGTTCTGCTACAAAGATACTCTGTAGAGTGTGGAAAATCTTTTTGGATCCCTATGAAAGAGAAAAGGGTATAATGGTTATTTTTTAATTTTAACAACTACATAATGAAGGGACCAACAAGGTTCAAGAACTGTATCACAGGGACTGAAAAAATAATTATTTATATTTGTACAAAATTCAAAAAAAATGACGTAAGTTGCATGTCGTTACTCTTTCTTGCATTTAGCCCATATTGTTTTTGTTGATATTGTGAACTGCTTTCAGTTGACTTGAAGGGTTGGAAAGCAGATGAAATTGTTGGGGAAATGCTGAAATTTGTTTACTGTAGATCTTAGATATGCTTCGTTGAAACATTCTACCAATAGAACAACTACAAGAAAATACACCATCAATTTGGAAGGAAAACTTGACAAATGGTTGTTGTATGAGTTCACTGATGTCTAGCTATTGGATATCTTTAAAATTAGGTACAACAGTGATTAAAGATGCACCATATATACCCCACATTTCAATTGTTACCTCAATGTAACTCCAAACACAAAGTTTTTCTTTTTAATTATTAAGCATCAATAATGTGAACATCTTATTTTTTGTTATGGTCCACATTTCAATTGTTACCTCAAAGCATGAAGGTGCAACTGCAAGAAAGAACCATGATAAAACTTCTTACATTTTTTGTAAGCTTCTAATGATCTTTATACAGTCGTTGTAAGCTTATAATGATATATATATATATATATATATATATATATATATAAATAAATGTATAAGTACACTATTTAATTAAATATTTTTTGTATATAAATATGATTTTTCTCATGAATATATATATTATGAAAAAAATATACTTAGGGTAAAAGTGTAAAAAAATTATAACTTAAGGGTAAAAACACAAAAAAATGGTAAACTTAAGGGTTTTTTTTTTTTGCGAATTTAATATAATGGTAAGCTAGAAAACCTGTTATCACCGGTAAAAGGGTAAAACCGAATATTTTTTCGAAAATGTTTGGACAAAAACGAACATAAATTTCAACTTTGAACAAAAACGACAAAATCCTGAAAACTTAAGGATTTTTATGACATTAACCCTTACAACTTTGTAGCTTCATCTTTCCTTTTTTTGAACATTGTATTTGGAAAAATCCTTATATTATACCTTAATTTTAAAAAATAAACAAATTGTTATTAGTGGGTCGTGCTTAGCACGGGCCTCAAAACTTACCTAGTATATATATAATAGTCATGTAATGCTATATTCTCATCTTTGTTCGTTATTTTATTGATTAGCTTTTATAAAGTTTTAGGACATAGTATTGGGTCGACCAATTGAACGCCAAAGGTTTTTTTATCTTTACAAACAAAATTATACGTTGTATATAAAACAAAAGAAAAACAAATCTACTCAGTCAACAAAATAGTATACAAATCTACCAAGTCGTTGATGATAAAGTGTAAAATGTAGATCATATAAAGAGTAAATTATACGAATGGTCTTTATGGTTTTAAATAACTTACACGTTTGATCTCTAACTTATTTTTTTAATTTGGATAGTTCATACTCTTTGTTTTTGTTATATATTTGATCTCTACTGTTTTTGTTATTGTTATGCATTTACTTCTTATCTTACCTAAAAATATTATTATTTAAATAAAGGAAAATGATGAAGTAGGTAAGGTAATATGAGAGGTTTGGGTTGAGAGTGTGTTTGATTAAATAAATGAAAAAATCAAGGCAAAATAGTTTTTTAGATAAGATAGAGAACAAACACGTAACAAAAATAAATATTAAGAACCTTTCAAATTAAAAAAATAAGTTTCAAACAAAAAATGTAAATTACACCAAACCATAGGGACCATTTGTGTAATTTACTGGTAAAAACAAGTTAGACTTGTGTCACATAAAATATTATTTGTAATAATTAAGGTGTTTTATCGAATATCAATCAAATTCCTAAGACGCGTAATGGCTGAGATGTAATTTTGTGTATCCGCGTGGACATTTTGGAACACAAGTGGGTGTTGTAGTTGTTGGCGGTGACCGGATGTCACATGAGTCCAAAGTTAGTTCCGCTTGTCGACCATCTTCTTCCGTACCAAACGTTGACGACGGTGACTTAATTATGCAATTCCCATTACCAATTTCAAACCAAGACACGTGTACTCCTACATTTTTCCTTATAAACAAGTGATTAATAATTATTAATTTCACACAGATAATTCACAAATATAAATAAAACTAGTATTTAACTTATTTCTAAAAGAATCGTTTGTAATTAATAAAAACGAAAACTATTTATTATATAAGAAACCCAAACCTTAAATTTAATACAAGGATGGTTCTTTTGCAATTTATAGTTAACCGTACCATAAAAGTGTAAATGAATTTTCAGTCTAAACATTTATATATGGATGAGACAGACATAAATAAAATTTGAAAGTATTTCTTAAAAAAATTAATAAAACTAAAACTATAAAAAAAATTATATAAAAGAATGAAAACATAGCTTTAAAATATAATAAGGGACCAAAATTATAATTTATAAAATACCAATAATTTAAATTTAAAAGTATGAAGGGAGAAAACTATTAGACCAAAAAAATTTTAAGATGAAAAAGTATAAATACAAGATGTTGCTATGGCCGGAGTCTTAACCTATATTTCCAGAAAAACTTTTATTTTGCATTTTGTATTTTTATGTTATAAATTTATAATGTGATTTGATTTTAGGTAATTTGGCTCTAAAAGTAATAAATGAAATAAGCAGTACACTTACCTCACATCACTAACTTTCCTAATTAAAATATATATAATTCTTGTTATATTATCAAGTAATTAGACGATCACTAATCATAAAAATAAAACTGTAAGACATTTGTATTTATAAATATAAATATAAAACATGTATTATCCACATCTTAGAAAGAAACATTTCTAACATAATAATTGTCTTTGTATGATCATCTTTTATCGTATTGGTCTACGCATATCATAAAACAATTTTTCCATTTTTATATTATGGGTGTTGTCCGGAATAAATTAAATGTTCAAACTCGACCATATTTAGTATGGGCGAGTACTCATCCCCAAAAATAACAATAAAAGCTTGTAAGAAATTATTGGCATATTTATTGATGTAGTTTTATAGATCCATAATATCTATCAATAACATTGTTTGCTACATCATATATCTGTAAATAAAAATGTTTTATAGAGTTGGAAAAAGTGTTTTTTTTTCTTCTAAAGGCTGTTAAAAAAACAAAACAAAACATACCAAAAATGGCGTTACACTTGATCATTTCAATCCCTCTTTTTTCTTCTTTTTGGGTTTTGATCCCCCACTATATGTAGCTATGGTAAGTCAACATATTTGTGCAAAAGTGTGGAATATAAATCATCAATATGGAGTTCAGAATCATCATATCACCTTCAAACATTTCATCAAAACAGTTGGCGTATATGTATATGAGTTAATTGATTCGTTTTCTCCAGCTCACCAATCATTATGCTTCTAGAAAAGAAAAAGACGTCACCTTAGTCCTTAGCTGTATCAATATTCAATATTTCAATACCTACCACCACACCTGGATTAAGGAATCAATATTTAACACATTCTTAAATATATATACATAAGCACTTGATTATCCAAACAAAAACTGTATATTTGCATATGGGTATGAATCTTTTTTAACAAAACCTTCGATATTCAAAAACTTGTAACAACAGAAATATTAACTTAACGAGAATTGTCCACGACATATTAAGACAGAAAAAGTGAAAAGCACAAATTAATTAAGACAATTGTTCATAATGAGGTTCTTATTTCAGCACTAAACCGGTGCCTTCCATCTTCTGATCCATTAATTCATCTATTTTTTCTTTCATCTCATCGGTGAAATACTTCTCCCAATCTCCATCTTCAGCCTTTCTGAAATAAAGTTGGTTTTCAACCCCATTAGACCCCACTGGACTATGAACTCCACTTTTATTCACCCTTAAACTGCTCAAATTCTCAAAACTACACAACTTCACAATATATTCAATCACACCTTCTTTCTCTTCTTCGATTGTAAACGGATGCCCAATAAACTCAGCCAACCTCTTCACGTTGCTTCTAGCATCTCTCTTCATATCTTCATATTTCATAAGAAGAACTTCTTGAGGTCTTTCTAAGCTTGCTTTCCAATAACCTAAAATATGATCCCAATAAGGTCCATACCATGAAATCCCTTGACAAAACTCATCAAACGCATCCTCAAAACACGCTTCTTCCTCAGCTACTTTGCACGCTTTTCTAAAGAACTGGTAATTAGAAACAAGGACATCTTTTGTGTTACGATATATGTAAACAATCTTACAGTTTGAAGATACAACAGATTCGGGTAAAGAGTTGTAAGGAAGATGTGTAGCGATAAAGGGGAGGAAATCAGGGTTATTGTTTATCCGGTTGTATTCGATTTGTTCAAATTCTCTTTCGAGCAAAGGGATACATTCATGGGGAACGGTTGTGAGTAAAGGGTTGCTAGATTCATCGAACTTGTTTCGAGTAACAATCGCGAAAGTCAAGGCCTTTAGCCATGTTGTGCCTGTTTTAGGGCAACTTGAGATGATTACGTCACTTGGGTTGGGTTTGAAGGTTTTATGAGCTACAAAAGCCCATTCGTGGAACTTTTGAGAGTTCCAAAAGCCTTTGTACTTATACAACGTGTACCTTCCTTTCAACCAGCTGCTACTGTGTTGTGGAAGTGTTTTGAAGTTGATCATGTCTTCCTTTCAACCAGCTGCTACTGTGTTGTGGAAGTGTTTTGAAGTTGATAATATCGGTTTAATTAAAGAGAAATTAAATGGTGCATTGATTTATAGATAATTTTTGTCAGTATTGTATTTAAATAAGAAATAATAAATAAGGGGTCGGGTTTATAATATTATAGACAAAACTTCAAAAATGGTCCCTGTGGTTTTCGAAAATCTGAAGTTTAATCCTTAATTTACCAAAAACTCACGGATCATCCATGTGGTTTCAAAAAATTTAACATATGATCTTTTTCGCTAACTCCGTTAGCTTTTGACCGTTAATTAAATGATATTTCTGTCTTTTCACTACCACAGAGACCATTTATGAAGTTTTGCCTTATTTTAAAAAAATAGTTATTTAATATTAAAGGTCTCTCTCTCTCTCTCTCTCTCTCTCTCTCTCTCTCTCTCTCCTCTCTCTCTCTCTCTCTCTCTCTCTCTCTCCTAATTTATGGAATCATTAGCTAAAAGAAGAAAAATAGATCCTAAATTGAGTTGCTCTCAAAGAAACTCAGATTAATTAGTGCAGTTTAAAACGAAAAGAATCACTCACATCTATTGTTTCTTCTTCTTGTTTCACTAGATCTCACTACTACAATCGATCATGGATCCCATCCTCTTTTCTCTCCTCTATTTTCTGGGGTTGACATATAATCAAACAACTTGGGGTCAACTTTTATTAGTATGGGACCAAGTCTTTGGGCAAGCACTTCATCTTGTACCCTAATTAACTGTTTGCAACGAGAACCTTCTCTATGTCTGTGGCCATGGTGGGAAGTTGTATACAAAGAATGAAATGTTTTGATGCTACTTGAAGAATGGAATCGATCCACAAGTCTGAAAATCGAACCATAAAACTGAACAGTTCTGAAGTCGACGAGATGGTTCTAAGTAGTTTGCAACATACAAGAACTTTAATGAGTTTAAACGGGAATAATCAATGTTCTCGGAAATCTGGTGTGAAATTTTCTTGTTATTACTTGAGCTTCAAAGATCTGGTTTTGTTGTTACAGATGTGTGTGTTCACTCGTACACACCATGTGTTCACTGAAATGCTTGACCAAGAGGAACTATCGATTTTAACCGAAATTACTAATCAGCATTTAATATCCAATATAAAATCAGAAAAATGAATTCTATGATAGAAAAGTATGATATCCAGATCAATTTTTTCGAGGATTAAGATAATTTCTTGTTTATGGTGTGATTAATAAACCAAATTCTGAGTGGAATTGTGGATTTTTTTTTTCTCGAAATAATTGTTTTTTTTTCTGTACCTTATGGACAGGTAGATGGTGTTTGAAGACAAGGTCATTTCCGGTTTTTTCTCCACCAAATGCGGTCGCTGGAAACAGCGTATAATGACTCGGAAATATCATCTAGGTCGAATGCTCACCCATTCTAGCAACCACAACCAGTGGAGGCTGATTCAGAGGTCGCTTAACCCTAGACAAGAGTTCCTCTACTGCCGATTCAAGTATTCTAACATGGATTGAAGCTCTGGTTATGGAGGTTTGATTGATTGGACCTGTGTAATTTCTGGGCTTTCTGTACTAGAGATGAAGATGAATTAAGAAACAGGAGAAATGCCTTTGGATCGAATACCAAACCATACGATCTGAACTGAAATTAGGAGGAACAAAATGGGTTGATATCTCGACTTAACGGTTGATTGTGATGTATGTGAATGAAGATTATGAAGAAACAAGTTTTTTTTTTTTTTGAGAGAGAGAGAGAGAGAGACTATTTAATATTAAATAATTATATGTTTTTTCTTTTTTTTATAAACAAGGCAAAACTTCATAAATGGTCCCTATGGTAGTGAAATGACATAAATATTCTGCATTTAACGGTCAAAAGCTAACGGAGTTAGCAAAAAGATCATTTGTTAAAATTTTTGAAACCACAGGTACCATATGTGAGGTTTTTGTAAATTAAGGACTAAACTCCAGATTTTCGAAAACCACGGGGACCATTTTTGAAGGTTTATCAATATTATATTGTAACTAGAGTAAATTACACGAAAGGTCCCTATGGTTTATGATCATTTATATGTTGGTCTTTAACTTTTTTTGGTTTTGTTTCGAATTTAATCCCTATCAGATCTGAAATAACATTTTTACCCTTTCTTCTTATTATTATTTTTTTATTATCAACTTATTAGAATAATCATTTAATCAAAAATGCATGTGGGTCCCATCATCCAAACCCCACCCACCTAAATCCTATTAGTCATTCCTCAATCATTTCTCTTTAACCCCACCCCCCACGTGCACTTTTAATTAAATTATTACTCTAATAAGCTGATAAAAAAAATAATAAGAAAGGGTAAAAATGTCATTTCAGATATGGTAGGGAGTAAACCCGAAACAAAACCAAAACCCACACTCCTAAATCCTATTAGTCGTTTCTCCAACCCCCCCCCCCAATCAATCGTGGTCTGATCATCATCTCCAACCACCACCTCTAATTGCTGGAAACTCTACACAGTTCCCATCGGAGACACCCTTCACCATCAAAACTAATGCAAATGAACACTAAAATCAAATAAAAAACAAAACGAACTGATGAAAATCAAAATCAAAGCCTGGTGATAATCTTGATTCAAAAATCAAATTCCAAAGCTAAAAATCAAAACTCGTATTCTAAAATGACCATTGTTTTCTATGATATTAGTTTCTGGATCACAGAATTTAGAAACGATTTCAACATCTAAATTCCAAAATCAAATCGAAGAATATGAAACCAAAACCAAAATCATAAAGGGGTTCTAAAAACAATAATGGATTGGTGGAATGCACCGATTTTAGTGTGTGTTTGGATAGGAAAAAAGATGGTGTTTATTGTTTATTGTTTATTCCCACCACAATAAGCTAAGTTTAAGTTTTTGGATAAAATCCTTAAAAATCAGTTTATTGTATTAGGAACAAACTAAATAAACTAATTTTAATAAGCATCTCCCCCTTGCTTATTTTTTATTGTTTATTCTCACCACAAATAAGCTAATAAGTTAATCCAAACACCCCCTTAAGAAGATTTCTGGAACACCGACTTCACAAACTTTATCAATTTCTGGAAAACAGATTTCAATCCTAAGCAACATATTTCAAACGAAGAAATCTCGTGCAAGATGGAGATGGTGGCCGCTCTCTTTCACGTCGAGCATGGAGAACACATGATATGGGCGATGGATGATTAGGTTATTGTGGTTTTAAATGGCCGGTGAAGACAATATCGAAGAAGAGAAAAGAGAAGGTGAGTGGTGGTGATGGTTAAGGAGAAGCGGTAGTGAAGACAATTTCGAAGAAGAGAGTAGAGAACCTGCCATCACCTATTTCGTCGAACTCATCACCGAATCCACCCCTTTAAACACCTCAAACCACATCAAACACCCATTACCGAACACCACCTCCACATAAAACTCGAACCACCCTTATTCCATCCACCTGCTTCATTGGAACACCAGGCAAACTAGACCTAAAACCACCACATCCTCCATAGAAACGACCCATTTGTTTCTATCACATAGTTGATCGTCGAACCACCCTTATTCTAGCCATTATCGATCTCAATTTGGAAGCAGCGTCGATCTCAATTTGGAAGGAGGAAGATATAGGTGAGGAAAGAGGAGGGTCATGGGTGACCTGATGTTTATGACGTGGGTTTTATTTATATAAAAATGTAAATAAATAATAAAATAATAAAATTAATTAAAAATTAATTAATGGGAGGCATAATAGGTTTTTTTTTAGGTTAAACAGAGATCAAGCGGGCAACAAAAACAAACAATATGGACGGTCTGAGTTAAAAAAATAAGTTAGGTATCAAACGCGTAAATTATCCCAACCACATGGACCATTCATGTAATTTACTCTTGTAACTATTCGACTAGTTTAACACGGTTAGGTAGAGATCATTATTCATTAATACATTATAATCACTCACTGCGTATTCTACTAAGAAATAAACACAAAGTGACAAAACTTCATAAGCTTTAGCTGTACATTCGAGATATATAAAAACAAGAGTAAATTACAGAAATAGCCCCTGTTGTTTGGTCGGTTTCGAGCAATCATCCATTTTATTAGTTTCCGATACTCATAGATATCAGACGCTTTTGCTTTTTTGGTTAATGGTTCTTCAATTTTTGGGTTTGTTTATCATCTTTTGTTAACAAAATTTAGCACAAAATAACAAGTCAAGGACCAACCACATAAAAAATTGAAACTACAAGGACCATCTTTGTCAAGAAAAACAAGTTAAAATACCAGAATCATGACTTTTTGTAAACAACAAAGATCATTTACGTAATTTTGTCTATAAACTAAAAAAAAATACATTATACTCACTCACTCAGAATTCGATTCTATTAAGAAATAAACACAAAGTGACAAAACTTCATACATTTGAGATATACGAAAACAAGGGTAAATTACAGAAATATCCCGTCTATAAACAAAGAAAAAAAACATTATTTTATGAAAACAATAAGTGAGTCAACATACACCAGTTAGCAATAACCTGAATCTAGCCTGAACATGAGGAATTTCAAGTCAACATGTTGTTGCATAGGCAATTGACAAATAAACCCCTTCAATAACAAAAAATACTCTTTGGACACCTCATCTAAATCAAGTCCAATATTATTTATAAAATCACCAGCACGTTGTGTTACAGCTTTTCTCCCTTCATTAACCCATGAATCTGTTCCTTTTGAACCTTTACCTTTTTTATCACTTCCAAATCCAAATATTCCTTCATAAAGCTTATCAAGAACACCACTAAACCTCAACATCACATCAAACAACATCAACAGAGTCTTATTAACACCTTCACAACTTTCTCCAAGAAGTGATTTTTCAATAACTGATGACAAATATTTATCATGAGCACAAATTAGGTCATCAAGATCTTTAGCTATTTCCATTTCGTTACAGAACTTAGCCCACGAAACCTCCAAGACTTCAAAC